TGTTAATGTAAAATTGGCTGTAAGTATAATTACCCCTAGGGGCTGTTGTGTCAGTATGTCATTGAATAACTAAATACTGACAAGGGCCTTATACTCACTTGTGTTTGGCTCAAAAGCCCACACCTTGCCGACTACAGTATCATTTTGAACTCCTTGCGACACAAGAACTGCACAGTCCCCTGTATAACAAGTAAATTCAAAACCTACCTTGCTCTTGCAGCACAAGCTAAGGTGTTGGTTGCACCTTTCGACAGCTATCCGGTGACTTGACTGAAGCTGAAGTGTCCTTGGATGTCCACGTCTTCCACTCAGTCTGGGAAATACGCAACACTCGCAATGGTACACTGTTCCACAAGTTTTGTCCTTTTCACAGTACAAAAAGGGCTGAAAAGGGCTGATACACCCCCTCCTGTAGAAAATTTCTCCACACTGGGTTATTAATTGTCCAAGGTTAATTAACTGACCCTCTGAAGGTTATTAACGAATCAATTAAAGTTTTTTTTTCCTTCAGGGTAGAGTAAGATTGTCTTCTAGTGGACACCTTATTGGCAATAAGGTTGACTTGTTAATTTAATATCTTTATTACCCATCTCAAACGCATCACGTGGGCAGCAGTAAAAGATTACATTGGCACATCATGATGGGCCCGAGGACTGGGCCGCAAGGTTTAATAACTAAAGTAAAGTAAATTTATATAAATAAAGGTACACATACCTGTAGTTGATTACAATTATCATACATAATAACATAAGTAAATTATCGAGGATAACCCAAAACTTCAGTTAATGTGACTTACTTACACTGGGGTCCTTGTAGTATCTTATTATTTAAAGCCTAGCTGTAAGACACAGTAGAAATCAGTCATGAATATAACCTTAAAAATTAAAAATAAGTTACAGTAATAAGTGGTGCAATAAGAATAAGGTGAACTAAGTTATTTACATGAACATTCAGTAGAGAGGATCAACTTACTATATTAAGTACATGAATGTTAACTATACAACAAAATCACTCTCTTCTCTTTCCTTAGTGTCATTTATTAATTACCTTATAGCTCTCTTCCTGAGGTTTCGGTATAATAAAATATGTTTGAGGCCTGACCACTTACTGTGGGTACTACGGAACTGTGTTCACTTCCCGTAGAACCACATTGGTTTTGGTTCCTAACTTTGACAAACTTTGTAGTAAGATATTCTGGACACTGTGAACAATTTTATAAACACGTTTTAACTTCAGTTGTTTTACTCTTATCTTCAACATTCAGCGTATCCAGTTGTTGTTATCCTGGTCTACATGCTTCCTTTGACCCAGGTCCAGGATAAATTTTAGCATTTTGTTCTGGGTGAGTTGTGGACAGTCTATTTTTGTGTTAAATCAAAGTGCCACGAAGAACAAGAATAATCTACTTAACATTGTATTAGAGGTAGACATAGTCATGCGAGCCTCAGTAAGTGACACTGTGTGTTTCTGTAGTGGAACTTAAGCTTGGCATTTGTATTTTCTTTTACTACATTGTTCCCTAAAAATTCTCCTGACATGATTGGGTCAAAGAGATTTCCAAGATATGTCACTGAAGCTGCTGAAGTGATGGGTTCCCCATTACACTGGACATTAAAAGTATTGACCCTTTTCAGCTTATTTTTTTGTGCCAAATAGTATGGTTTCAGTTTTCCGAGGTGTAGCGATAGTTTGTTGTCTACTAACCATTTGCTGCAAGACTATTTCCAGTGATAATGCATGTCATTCACATAACATGAAAAGTAAGAGAACCAGAATTACAACCTTGGGGAGCCCCCCTTACTACTGGCAGGTGGCTGCAAACGGGGTTGTATATGTTTGTACAGAGCATTTTATTGCTATATTATATAATGTGTATAGCCTGTAGATGAGTGCGGAATGATTATGGCTTTTCTATTTTGTGGCCGACTCGTAAGACTTTGGTAAGGCGAGCATGTGTGACTGTGGGGAATTTAAATGTACTGGGGGGTTTTAGATGATTATTTTAAATAAAATATAAACAAAACAAAACTGGCAGGTGGTTATGATTCTGTTATGTATCTTGGCATGATGTTTTCTGGTGCTCAGGTAGGACTTAAACCTCAACAGAGTATGCCAATATCTTGTAGCTTTTTACATAATATATAGTGATTAACTGTATCAAATGCCTTTTGAAATCTAGGGGCCACCATACCTAAGAGATTCCTGAACGACATTTGAGTTCTCAAATGTCGGTCGAGTAAGATCTCCTGAAACCTGACTGGTAACTGTGGAGAGCGCAAATGTTTAATTCAAAACAACAAAACCATATCAGTAGGACACAAAAATGCTTATCTGTTGTGGAAATTGTTAATTCTCGCCATACCAGTAATAATAATAATAAAAATAATAATAGTAATAATAATAATAGTAATTATGCAATGAACAAGGATACGACGGCAGTGGATGTCTAGGATGCTGGTCGCTGTCTCACCACCAACGCTGAACCACACACTCAGCTTACACACTGAGTGTCCATGGTTCAATCCCCGGCATGGATGGCTGCGCTGGGCATGTTTCCTTACACCTGCTGTCCTTGTGTTAATCGACTGGTATGCGTCGCATCCTGGAAGGATGTGAGTAAAGTCACCCAATGAAGCACTGACTTTATTGGATTATCGGCGTGCTAACCCTCCAGGTTAAAAATCAGAAGATATATTAAGATAACTATTTAACAATACACCGCTTTCATAAGAAAGAAAGAAGAAGCACTGCAGCAGGCCTACTGGTCCATGCGAGGCAGGTCCAACTCACACCCTCCCACACCTATTCATGTATTTAACCTATTTTTAAAATTACCTATGTATACTGACTGTAATATTGTGTATAATTAACCCGTCATTTTACGTGTCAATGAGACAAAAAGCATGAAAAAATTAACAGGTTTTCATTTCATGTTTATTGGACAGGACCAGAGCACAACCTACTACTTGATTTGTACTCGCTGGAATGCAGGCGAGACAGATATATCATAATCTACACTTGGAAAATCCTAAAAGGAATGGTCCCGAATCTGCACACAGAAATCACTCCCTACGAAAGTAAAAAAAACTGGTCAGGCGATGTAAAATACCCCCAGTGAAAAGTAGTGGCGCCATTGCTACACTAAGAGAAAACACAAAAAGTGTCTGGGGCCCAAGAGTGTTCAACATTCTCCCACCAGCCATAGGGGGAATTACCAATAGATCCCTGGCTGCCTTCAAGAGGGAGCTGGACGGATACCTAAAGTCAGTACCGGATCAGCAGGGCTGAGGTTCGCACATTGGACTACGTGCGGCCAGAAGTAACAGCCTGGTTGATCAGGCCCTGATCCACCAGGAGGCCTGGTCATGAACCGAGCCGCGGGGGCGCTGATTCCTGGAATGCCCTCCAGTTAGACATAAGGGGAATTATCAGGCCCCTAAGTACCTTCAGGAGTGAATGTGTTACGTTGAAACTGTTCTTGTTCAGCCAAGTTGTAATGTTTACATCAACCTGTGAGTTGCAAGCAACAACAATCTGATTAAGTCATCAACCAGGAGACCTAGTATGAGAGAGGGCAGGAGACCTAGTATGAGAGAGAGCCACAGAGGTGATGATCCTGGGAAGCACTTCAGGGTTACTTCTAGGTAATACAACCCGTCACGGAACATTACCATCTTTCTTCCTTCCCTCCTTCACACTCTCCTTTTCTCCCTCACATCCTCCCTCTCTCCCAACTAACCTCATCTTCTCACACACCCTTTCCCCACTTTTCCACCCTACCACACACCTTCTACCATCCCCCTCTCCCAACGCCACTCCCTTCCATCTTCCTTTGTGAGGATAATGTCTTTGGTCTGTCTTTCCCCGTGTATGAGATAAACCCTCCAGAGAGATCGTAAGTAAGCCCAAGTAATAATAACTCCAGCTCTGTGGTCGAATTCGCAAGTGAATAAGGGGTCTGAGTCGAAAATTCAGCTGTCGTAGCTGCTGAATCCATAGTGGAATATGTAAGAATAACCTCATCACTCTACTGAAGTCTACCAACTCAGGCTGACACATTTCATGGGCTGGTTGATACATCTGGTTCAGAGCCTGTCTACTGCAAGAGGGTCATTAAGGCAGCATGTCACCTGTACAACCACAGCCACGGATACTACAATCACTAATGTCGGAATTAAAATGGATATGCTGTGATATATATCCCCAAAGCGCACATACAGTGATGCGTCATGTGCATACATACAGAAATGTACTTCCCTCCATGTGTATATACACTGAAGCTCTCAGCAGAATAACATCAAAAGAAATATACATTGTTGTTCTCAGTGTATACACACCACTAGATTTACTCATTGAAAAATACACAAAACAGACGATTTCACTATACTATCGGGACGAAACATGTTGGAGAAATATAGCTGGCTTTTGCTGGCACTTTGTAGCTATCATAAACAATACTGCAGAGCAGGTGTGAGATAGAAGACAATCAAGTATCAATCAGCGGGAAACAGCTGGGATGAAACTACTAGTACCCTCACATGAGGTATACTGGCAAGACTCTCTTTCCTTGAATTTTTAAACTTTACGCTGATAATACTAAGAGGTCTATAGTTGTAATTACAGTTGTAGTAAACTATATGTTTATATTTAGTTACTATCGTAATGAATTATTTATGCAGACATGAATTAAGTCACACAACTATTACAACATAGTTTATATTGTGGGTAACTTGGCAACTTTGTTTACAGATAGTGGCTGGTGGTGGCTACTGGCTCATCCTCGCCTCACTTACCATAACTCTCGCCTCTCCTCGTCACTGTCATCATCTGAGTCTACCTTCACCCACTTTATTACACTCAGTGATTCTTGCCTACAATATTGACTTAGTTACCCAGGACTGTCATACCCCAGTAGTGTCATAAACTTAAGTTGTAAACCTCAACTTGATCCTCAGTAATCACAATGGCATTTTTTGTGAGGATCTGCCAGATGGTTTAAGATGAGATAATAAAAGCTACTTGGCAGGTGGAGGTGTTGGTGTGGTTAGGGATCTTCTACCTGTGCAAGGTGGCTCTAGGTGTGGCCTGGGAGGTAGGTACAGGACTCAGGACACATCTCTGGTCCAAGATGGTCACTAGGGACCTGCCACGGGAGTACGGCGGCAGATGGGCAGGTATGTTACTCTCTTTATTCACTAGAATAAAACTGGTTACCAACTAATCCCAAGACATTGGATGGCGTTTAAAGGTTTAGCATAGCAAATGTCATGGCTAATAAGAAAAAATTTGTCCATTTGGCCAATTTGTCATGAGTGAACTTTGCCGAATAAGCCAAATGAAAATTTGTTTTGCCGAGTCAGCAAAAAAACGATCTGAAAGCTTTGAAAACATTATATAAACATAATTTTCAATATTTACCTGGAGTTTACCTGGAGAGAGTTCCGGGGTCAACGCCCCCGCGGCCCGGTCTGTGACCAAGGCCTCCTGGTGGATCAGAGCCTGATCAACCAGGCTGTTTTCTGCTGGCTGCACGCAAACCAACGTACGAGCCACAGCCCGGCTGGTCAGGAACCGACTTTAGGTGCTTGTCCAGTGCAGCTTGAAGACTGCCAGGGGTCTGTTGTAATCCCCCTTATGTATGCTGGAGGCGTTGAACAGTCTCGGGCCCCTGACACTAACTGTATGGTCTCTTAACGTGCTAGTGACACCCCCGCTTTTCATTGGGGATGTTGCATCGTCTGCCAAGTCTTTTGGGGGGTTTCGTAGTGAGTGATTTTCGTGTGGGAAGTTCGGTACTAGTCCCTCTAGGAGTTTCCAGGTGTATATAACCATGTATCTCTCCCCCCTGCGTTCCAGGGGAAAACAGGTTTAGGAACCTCAAGCACTCCCAGTAATTGAGGTGTTTTTATCTCCGTTTTGCGCGCCCGTGAAGGTTCTCTGTACATTTTCTAGGTCAGCAATTTCACCTGCCTTGAAATGTGCTGTTAGTGTGCAGCAATATTCCAGCCTAGAAAGAACTAGTGACCTGAAGAGTGTCATCATGGGCTTGGCCTCCCTAGTTTTGAAGGTTCTCATTATCCATCCTGTCATTTTTCTAACAGATGTGATTGATACAATGTTATGGTCCTTGAAGGTGAGATCCTCCGACATGATCGCTCCCAGGTCTTTGACGTTGGTGTTTCGCTCTATTTTGTGGCCAGAATTTGTTTTGCACTCTGATGAAGATTTAATTTCCTCGTGTTTACTACTTTCTTGAACAGCTGGAAATCCAGGATCTCCCAATCCTCAAAGTAGTCACTTATGTCCTTCCTGCCCGTGCTCGGAGACGATACCCTTGCAATGTGGCTCTATTAACTTTCGACAACCATGAACTCCCATCCTCTGTTTATGTTCGGGACATCGGTTACAAGTTCGAAAGATGATCCCTACGCCGCAACAGTGTAGAAATTGCTGGCGTTTTGGTCACCCAGCAAAATATTGCAGATCTATAGCTGAATGCCCAGTCTTTTGTGCCGACGACTATTCTAATACATCTTGCAGTCAACCTCCCTCTTGCCTTAATTGCCATGAGGCTCACCCTTCACACTCTCGCTGTTGCCAGGTCTACTTAAATGGGCATGAAATCCATTGCCTCAAAGAGGCATATGGTCTTCCTTATGCTATGGCAGTTTCTCGTCTCCACCTCCAAGGGAGACTACCCCGTGTTTCTTATTCTCGTGTTTCAAAACGTCCCCCCACTTCTGGGGTCCCATCGTCTGCAGCCTCCTCTGTGGTTACCCCTCCCATAGCCACTCCGGTATCTAATTCCTTTGCTGTTCTGGGCTCTGACGCCCCTACTACAGCACCTCAGTCTGTTCTCACATCTTTGCATCCTTCCTCACAAGCCCCGGTATCGACAGGAGCTCGTATGACAGCTTATACCAATCACCCCTTTACTTCTCAGAAGTCCAAAAAATTCCCATTCCTCAAATCATCTTTGCCCCCTCCTTCCCTTCTTCCACCTCCACATTTTACCTTTCCAGTCTCTGTGCCTAGTTCTTCCCCTCTCTCTGGCTCTGTTACAAGTGTGGAGGTTCACCCTCCTCCTCGTACTGTGCCTTCCACCCCCATCCCCTCCCAAGTTTCTCCCTCTTCTGCCGCCTCCCAGGCTTCTGCCTCTTCTGTCCCCTCCCACACTTCTTCTCCAGTCCCCTACACTTTTTCATCCCCCGGTACTTTGGTATAGTCCATTACTGTCCCCATCTTTACTCACCCTCCTCCTTCTACCTCCAATATTGTCTCCCACATGTCTTTAAATTCAGAAACACTTGAAGCCATTTCAGAATATATTGCAGAGACTAAACCTTCAATGGACACTGATCCACCTCCTGTTCCTTCTCTTCTCTCTCCTCCGTCTCCACAACTCCATTCCTCGCAATGCTCTGTTCCTTCGCTGCTTGAACGTCTTCCAATGCCACTGCACATTGACTTTTCTAACCCCTTTAGTCCATAGGCGCCCTTCCCTATGGATTCCTGGTATTTTCCTCATTGGCAATCATGGCCTATTTACAGTGGAATATCTGCGGCCTCAGGGGTAATCGGGGTGAGCTTCAGATGTTGCTTTCTAAGTTTTCCCCTGTTGGTGTTTGCTTACAAGAACCAAAATTACACTCAGCTGTTTTCCAACCTATCTAAGGCTATAATTTATTGTCTTCGTATCCTTTCTCTGATGGGACCTTTAATAAAAGTGCCCTTCTTCTATGCAATGATATTCCGTACTGTCAACTATTTGTCCATACCTCGCTACATTACACTACAGCCCGTATCCACTTGAATAAGTGGTTTACAGTATGTTCTCTATATCTCTCTCCTCGGGCATTTTCTATCCCAGATTTTGCCTTTCTTGTTTCATCCTTACCACCACCACTTCTGTTACTTGGCAATTTTAATGCCCACCATTTCCTCTTGGAGGGTCTCATTGTGACTCACGTGGCATCCAGTTGGAGACTTTTCTCGCCTCTCACCCCCTCCATGTTTTAAATATGGGTACTCTCACCCATTTTGATCCTCGTACTCATGCTCTCTCTTGCATCGCTCTATCGGTCTGCTCTTCCTCCACTGCACTAGATTATGCCTGGTCTGGTCTACCGGACTTACATGACAGCGATCATTTTCCAATCATTCTTACTTCTCCTTCATATTCACCAGCTTTCCGTAGCCCTCGCTGGCAATTTGATCGGGCAAATTGGGACCTTTACTCGCACCTCACTGCTTTTAGTGAGGTTCCTTCTTCATCCTCCATTGATGAGCTCCTACACCTCTTCTCGACGTCAGTTTTAACCACAGCTTCTCATTCTATACCCCAGACTTTAGGCAGACATTCTCAGAAGTGCGTGCTTTGGTGGTCTCCTGCTTGTGCTCGTGCAGTACGTTTGAAACGCGCTGCATGGGGCAGGTACCGGTACAATAGAACCGATGAGAGACTTCTTGATTTTAAGCAGAAGCGTCCAGTCACTCGCCGTGTTATCCGTGACGTTAAACGCACTTGCTGGCGAGATTATGTTTCCACCATCACCTCTGCTTCCTCTATGAGTGCAGTCTGGAAAAAGTGAGGAAATTGAGTGGTAAATACTCTCCTGACCCGGCTCCTGATCTACGGGTCGCCGGTGTTGATATAGCAAACCCTCTTGACATTGCCATTGAAATTGGCACTCATCTGGTCCATATTTCCGAGGGGCTCCATCTATGCCGCTGTATAGCCCTTGTGGCTTAGCGCTTCTTTTTTATTATAATAATCCATCTATGCCCCTCGTTTCTTTCCTCAAAGTCTGCCAGAGAGTTAGTACCCTTGGACTTTTCTGCTCTCAGAGAAGAACAGTATAATGTGCCTTTTACACTTCAGGAACTGGAGGCAACACTGTCAGCTTGCCGATCATCTGCAGCTGGGCCTGACGACATTCATATTCGGATGTTACAACACTTACATCAGTCAGCCCTTGTAGTCCTCTTACACCTCTTCAATCTTATTTGGTCACAAGGAGTTCTTCCCCAGCTGTGGAAATCTGCCATTGCTCTCCCTTTCCACAAGCCAGGTACTACAGGACATGATTCCTCCCACTATCGTCCCATTGCTCTTACTAGTGCAGTTTGCAAAATGATGGAACATCTGGTAAATCGATGTTTAATGTGGTATTTAGAAACACACAACAGTCTCTCCGCTAGTCAATATGGCTTTCGTAAGGGCCGATCTACCATAGACCCCTTACTACGCTTGGATACGTATGTTCGTAATGCCTTTGCAAATAATCACTGTTACTGCCATATTTTTTGACCTTGAGAAGGTATATGACAAATTGGAGGTATAATATTTTGGCCCAAGCCCACTCCTTAGGCCTCTGAGGCAATCTACCATCCTTCATTAAGAACTTTTTAACTGTAATAAAGTTGGTAGAATTACCGACAATATGTAAAGTAAAAGGACACAAGTGCAACTAATGTGACATTTATTGTTTGTAATGGCTTGATAAAGCTCCTGGAGAGCGAAACGTTGCCACAATAAATGTCACATTAGTTGCACTTGTGTCCTTTTACTTTACAACTTTTTAACTGACAGACATTTCCGTGTTCGAGTCAATAATGTGCTCTCCCTGGACTTCATCCAAGCTGTAGGTGTCCCTCAGGGATGTGTTCTGAGCACAACACTTTTTCTCCTTGCTATAAATGATTTGGCCTCTGTTCTTCCACCCAATATTTGGTCATCACTCTATGTAGATGACTTCGCTATTGCTTGTGCAGGCGCTGACTGTCACCTCATTACAGTTTCTCTCCAGCATGCGGTCGACCGTGTTTCCAGTTGGGCCACCATGCATGGGCTTAAATTTTCCAGTACCAAAACTCACCAAATTACTTTCACCAGATGCTCTGTCATCTCCGATCATCCTTTGTACCTCTATGGCTCTCGTATCCCTGAACATAATACAGTCAGGTTTCTAGGCCTTCTCTTTGACCGTAGGTTATCCTGGAAACCTCACATTACCACTCTGAGGGCAACTTGTCACAGCCGGCTGAACCTTCTTAAAATCCTTGCTCATCCTTCATGGGGAGCTGATCGTCGAACTCTCCTTCGCCTACATTCAGCCATCATTTTATCGAAACTCGATTATGGTGACCAGAACAATTCAGTGGCCTCTCTTAC